GATCTATTATCAACTGTATTCATACCTGTTATATACCATCTCAGCTATTCCATCAAGGCGACAGCTAGTTTTTATTCTGTTTTTGTTTTAAAATATCTTAAATATGGAAAACAAAATTTTTCTCAAACTCTCGGCTTTGAGGAGATATCTTTAAGCAAAAAAGCATTGTCTAAAGGATCTTAGAAAACATTTCTGTTGTTTCGTTTTGAAATTTCAGTTTTACTTTCGAACAAATATTGCTTTGCTTTCCTTTTCTGAAATCTTTTCAACAAAAAATACTGAGTTTTAGATGTGTTCATAGAGAAAGTGAAACGAAAAACGGCGGTATTTTGGAAGTATATTGACATGCTTCAACAGGGATCTTATAGTTATTTATGTTAGCATTTCATCTTTTCATTTTTCATTGAAAATTCGATCAGCTCTTAGAAAGTGATCTTATGAACATTCAATAAGTTTGAATCAAATAATAGCTGTTTAATGATCACTTGTGGTGCTTAAAATGAGATTTAAATGAAACTTCATTTAAATCTAATGTTTCTTACTATTCTTGACATTAACAACCACTGAATTAGTAAGTTTTATAAAATAATTTTGTAAAATCTATCGATTCATAAGGAATTTAACAGAAAAAAATGACTATTTTTATTTTTTTTATTGGTCACAACAATAAAAAAAGGTAAACAAAATATCTACAATAAGATTCTCCGTAACAAATATGAATAAGACGTTCTCTATTGAGCAAATTACAGGAAAAGTTTTTAAGCATTATGAAATTCATATTAAAAAATATCCAATGCTTACGAGAGAAAATAAATTGCTCTATTTTTTCAGACGTAGCGCGCCTATTGACAAAAATGTGAAAAGAATGCGTTTGAAGAATTAATTATTGTTCATTTTCGTTTCAAGGCCCATATAATGAAATATAAACAAAGTACCTAAATGAGAGGCTTCCATTTCAGAGAAATAATGAGTTTTATCAAAGAGGCATCAAGGCCACGAATAATTAGAAGCTAATTAAGGATTTGGGTACCTCAAGCCTGACTATCTTTTTTGAAACTTTGCAAAAGAATGGTTATTATTGTAGAAAGTGTTTCCTGAATGAAAAATATCAAGTTCGAATTTTCTAGAAGCCGATTACAGATTTAAATTGCTCGCCTTCGGTTGTCTTCATTAAAACGTTAAGATTATACCACTACATGCAATTCTATGACTAGATAGTTGGATGGAAACATGAAAACATAGTCACAAATTCATTCTTTCTTATAAGAGTCTCTGCAGTGGAAGGATTAAGTCATATAGGAACACGTATAAAATGAGACTGAACCAGTTCTCAAGCAGAGATCTATCAGAACACGCAGATTTTCTTTAATTGGAGTCTTTAAAAATCTTTAGAAATCTTTGGAAATCTTTGGGAATCTTTGGGAATCTTTAGAAATCTTTGGAAATCTTTAGAAATCTTTGGGAATCTTAGGGAATCTTTAGAAATCTTTAGAAATCTTTAGGAATCTTTAGGCATCTTGAAATCTTGAAATCTGCTTTTCCCCCCTTGCAATTTATGGTCTTATGCGCCACCGTCCTTTGTAAATAAAAAGTATCTATTTTGAGCAACATGTTTCCTGAGATTAACTTTGAAAATATTGATCTATGCGTAGTAATGCTACTCTTGCAGCTTATCGTTGCATCAACCTTCTTTTAATGCTATCAGAAAGAAATTCGAAAGCATTCAACAATATCACAAGTATTTTTACTGTTATTTTGAAAAAATTTGAGCATTGCAAAGATATCAAGAGTTCGTCAAAACAATATCTGAATAACTTCTGTTGAGATTCTTTTTTTTTGACAATAATTTAGTAGAATTTACGCATATGTAAACTTGATGTGTTTATTATTGTTTGTATTGTCTTATATATCTAATTTAGATGATGACATTCAATCGTCGTTTTCTCAATACTATTCAGTCATTACTATTGATTCAAGTATTTCTTTGTTATTGTTTTTGTATCAGTAGTTTTCTTGTCAATTTTACTCAATTTCTCTCATGAATATTTATATGGCCATTTAATAAACGATTATATATCGTCGAATTAATTATTATCTGGTAACATTAATATGGAGTCGTAAATTTTAAAGATTAACTTGTCTATTTTATTATTTATATTTCGTTTAGAATTAACTTTTTTCTATTCATGATGGGCTAATTCAGATATAACTATTTATATTGATAAAAAAGATATTGAATATCTAAAATATGAATATGTATTTAATCTTGTCAATCATCGATATGAAATTAATTGACTTATTGAATTAGTAGTTGCTCAAAGACTTGGTGTAGTTGAAGTCAATTTTATTTTGTTTTCTTAAATCTCTTTAAAAACCAATCATTTTTATTTATTAGGATTCAAAAATAGTTGGTAAATGTTCACTTAGTTTAATAGCAATTCAGGATTGGTCATGGTTGTTTACTGAATCAGTTTTTTTATGTCGTATATGAGAAAGTGATAAGAAAATTTTAGAAGATGATATGCAACAACTTGTTCATGGTTATCCAGATAATTATTATTTTAATGTCTGAGAATAATTTTTATTTGATCTTTTTGATAAAAATTCGTTTTTTTCGTAGTTTTTAATGGCTTGTGAAGATACTCGATTTACGGAGAAAAAACGCGTAGAAAGTATGAAATATGCCAAAGAAAAAAATTTACCTGAATTAAAATATCATATATTACCATGTACGAAAAGTTTTACCTTAATCCTTCAAGGAGTAAAAGGAAAAAGTAACTTAAATTGAACTTCATTATGTTTTATTCTATTTTCAATGTTTTTATCAGTACTCAGTGTTTATAATTTTATGCTTGCTTTTACTAAAAATAGTGCTTCACCAAAGTCTCATATATTACTCAAAGGACGTATTTGTAAAGCTCAACTTTATATTAAGTGAGTTTAGTAAAAGTAATAGTTATTATTTTAAAGAAAGTTTATTTTAAACGCATTCCTATTTCACAAATTCCATATGAAGATGAAGTTAAATGTGCTCAATGGTTGCATGAACTTTTTCAGGAGAAGGTAATACTTAAGCGTAATACGTTTTTATACAATAGCATAAAGCATACTTCCTTCCTATGAAATTTATCATTATTTGGTTTATATTTAGGATCGTATTTATGATCATTTTGTTCGATATGATACATTCGAAGGTTTTGGATTACTAAAAGTACCTTCAGTTCGAAATTATTATGATATATTAATTGAAGTCTTTTGACTTATTACAATTAGTATTCCTTCATTGATTTAGTTTATAGAATTTCTTCTAGTCAGTAGATGATTTGCAAAAATGATATTTGCATTAATTATTTTAATTGCTTATTTAATTTTGCAGCGAATAATTAACATGTCTGTAATCAAAATTGATGCAAAAGTAATAAAAAAAACAAAATAGTCACAGAACAGAAATATGTATTCAGATCTCCTAGTAATTTCAACATGAAATGAGAAATGTCATGTGGAAAAGTAAATTGTAATCTTACACATTGATCTCTTCATAACAAAAGTAAAGTGATGTCATAGTCTCATGTGTAAAGTCCATAAACTATTTTAAACTATGAAAAAAGGCTTTGTTAATTTTTTATTTTTGACATCTTTTTGAGAAAAAGAACACATAATATTTCGTTATTCTTCTGGTGAAATGAGATACAGAGAAAACTAGAAATATTCTACATTTGAAAGACATGCTTTTGTCCTCAAGTCGTTGAGTGAACGATCTGTGAAGACAGAATATAATTATCTTCGATTAGTCGTATAATAATTAATATATAAATAATTAACAAACTTGATAAAGTTTTAGGGACGGATGTGAGTGTGATATGAGTCCTTGTCTACTGTATACTTTACACACACACACGCCAACACTGACATGAACATCTACAATCTTTGTCCATATCCACACTATTGCTGTTTGATTTAGTAGACTATTGAAAAGCAAGAGTTGAGATTAGCAAATTGATGTGTCAATTCCAAAGAGAAACAAACGAAACCATCTAAGCTTAGTTTGCTCTTGTTTGATGACTTCAAATGGTTTTAAGTTGATTCTCCTTGCTCTTTTCGCTAAACAATAAATCGATTTGTTTTCGTTCTTCCTCATACTCTCGAAACTCATCATATCACTAATTTACTTTAAAATTAAAAAAGAATTAAACGGTTTTATGGATAAATACATAAATTTGAAATTACAAAAAAATATTACATTGATCAATGTCTTATGACCACCAATAATACTCCTTAGGAATCTTTGCTAGATTGATTTTCATCATATTTCCATACTCTGGTAGTATATCCTTAGTGTCTGAAATATATTCTTCGACGCATTTGATAGGATCAGATTCAAGAAGTTGCTGAAATTTAGTTTGCCATGTTTCCTTAGTTTTGAACTCATCGATTAAAAACTGTAGTCCTGAACGCCATATTTGAGCAGATTATCGTAAATCTGGATTCATTGAACCATGAATATCTACAAATGCCTTTTCAAATATTGGAATCGAGTTTACCGTTAATATAAATGTGATTGTTTTTGCTGATAGAATTGAAACATGAGATGTGGGAAGAATTGAATCATGATTTGTTATTGTTAATGATTGTCGTTTAGTTGTTGGTTGATCAAGAAGTGATAATGTTTCTTGATGTCGTTTGAGAAGTGTAGTGGCTGATGTTGATGTATGTGTAGCTATAGTTAATAATGATTTATAATCGAGAACAGTTCTAGGATCAAATTCATCATTGTTAATCAATGATTTTGGATAGGCAGAATTGACAAGAGTTGATAAAAATCTAAGTAGAAAAATATATTTTTGTATAGAGAAGTTAGATAATCTTCAATCTCGCAAATTCATGTCATTAGATTTGCTTCTCTGAAGAACTTTTTCAAATATTCGTTTTTTAAAAAATAATCTCGTACTCAAAGAGTATGAAACTTGATATTAGAATTTTCTATCCATCAATCCCGCATTGATTTCTCCTCTCCGTTCCACAGGCAAAAGTAGGCAGTCAATAGACATTGGAAAAGTGATTTACGATGATAAATGTTCATCATTTCTTCGATTAAATCGATGAATATCTTCATTACTTCCTCCATTTCCTGAATCAACTCTTTCTGAAACAACAATTGCTTGTTCAATTATAGTTGATATTGGTATTGATTCAATTATTCCTATTAATTCATTCATTGATGTTGGACGTTTTGTTGTTGATAATGATGATACTAATTTTCTTGATGTATCAACATTATTTTTAATTCCATTAACACCAACAACTATTGTTGGTGTTCGTCGTCCATTTGATGTTATTTTTGGTTTTACTAGGTCTAACCAAAAGTTCGTAGAATGATGTTTAAATTTTTATAGAATACCTAATATCGAAAGATTTATTGCATGAATACGTAGTAAAGTGCTTCGTCTATAATTCTAACAGTCTTTCAGGTAAAGTCTATAATAGAGGGAATATATGAA